CACCCAAAGGTCCCATAACATAGGCAAAGAGTATCTATACAGTACAACCAACAAGTTCAGCTTCGATTTTGTCAGGAAACAACAGACGAATAAGAGTCCATTAACCAAAATCCAGCGGGTCCATTGTCCAAAAATGCAAGAACCATGGGGTCCAGGGGGTCCATTGTCCAAAATTGCAAGAACAATGGGGGTCCATTGTCCAAAAATGCCAGAACAATGGGGGTCCAGAGGGTCCATTGTCCAAAATTGCAAGAACAATGGGGGTCCATTGTCCAAAAATGCAAGAACAACGGGGGCCAGGGGGTCCATTGTCCAAAATTGCAAGAACAATGAGGGTCCATTGTCCAAAAATGCAAGAACAATGGGGGTCCAGGGGGTCCATTGTCCAAAATTGCAAGAACAATGGGGATTGTGGTTTAGGCTAATTCCGCTGCCTTGCAGCCTACTGTAGTAAACCCGAAGGACAAATCGTGCCGGGATTCCCGTTCCTAAGGATTGAGGATATTGGATTTCCAACTTTTGGTTTTTACTGGAACTGTTGCCACTCATTCGGTTTCCAGGCACCCCCCACTCCATCATCGTCACAGATTTGCCTTCCCCATTTCCTCCTGGGGCAATTCATCCGGAGTGTGTTTGCCGTTTCCCAAAGCCTATAGACCTTAACCCCCCAACGACATCACCCTAAACCCCTAAACCTTTCAACCCCTAAACCCGGAACCCCGAAGCCCTAAAACCTTAACCCCTAGACCCTAAGCCCTCAACGACATCGTCATCATCGACGGAAAGGTTGCCGCTTTGATTTTAGGGTTTAGGGTTTTGGGGTTCAGGGTTTTAAGGGCCCTTCGGGAGCATTGTGCAGCTTGTACGTTCTGAAACCTTGAACCGTACGCCCTGGAACCCTGACTTCTGAAGTCGCTTAGAGTGGCTGGCTTACGTACAGGGTTTAGGGTTTAGGGACTTATGTGTTTAGTCTAAAATTACGTACAGGGTTTATGGTTTAGGGACTTATGGGGGTTTACGTACAGGGTTTAGGGTTTAGGGACTTAAGCCTTGGTCCCAATCCCCTTGCAAGGCCCCTAAACCCTAAACCCTAAACCCGCAAGCCCGAACGTAGAATCCCGAAACGACAGTACGCTTCGAAACCTGGGAGGCGATGCCGTGAACCTTCAAAGTGCAAGTTTAGGGTTTATCGACTTCGGGATCCTTTCATGGGGTTTAGGGTCTAGGGTTTAGGGTTTAGGGTTTAGGGTTTAGGGTCTAGGGTTTAGGGTTTAGGGTTTAGGGTCTAGGGTTTAGGGTTTAGGGATCTAGAAGAGATCTATATGGGTTCTATAGTAGGGTTGTTGAGATTTGGGGTTTGGGGTTTAAGGTGTACGGTCCCGGAGTTTGATTCTACGGTGTATATACGGCTCCGTGGTTTGAGGGGCTTTAGGATTTCAGGGTTTGGGGTTCTAGGGTTGAGGGTTCAGGATTTCGGGTTTAGGGTTTTCAGGGTTTGAGATTTGGGGATTTGGACATGCCCCGCCGTGACAGGAGGTGACAACATGGCCGAAGGCGCGACAGAGGCGCGCACTTTTCGCTTTGCACAGACTTTCCTCGATGTAGGAGCCCTTCATTGAGTTCAAAAAAGATCCAAAACCCCAAACCACGAACATCTTCATAGAACGCTTTGAGGAAGCCCTTAAAGGGACACTTATAGAAGCCCTTTATTTCAGCTTACAGGAGTAACTGGTGCCACAGGTAAAGGATCTCAACACCCCCCTAAACCCCTAAACCTCAAGCCCTAAACCCAGGCCCTTAACGCCCCTAAACCTTTAAGCCCTAAACCCCAAACCCTAAAACCCTAAGCCCCAGACCCACAATCCTAAACCCTAAACCCTTAACCCTAAACCCCTAAGCCCCAGACCCAAAACCCTAAACCCTAAACCCAAAACCTTCTTTTTCCTAAGGCTAGAAGTATGGGCCCCAAATATGGACCCTTCGGCCTTTCTAGGGACTCTTAAGGGTACATATAGGGTATATGGTAGGTGGATAGGATCCCACCTTAAGAACCCAAAACCTACTTTTTTTGTAGGGCCCTATAAATCCCATATTAGGGTTTATAATAAGAACCTACAAAACAGAGGGTTTGGGGTTCTTAAGGCAGGGTTAAGGGCCCATACTAGGGGCCATGGTTTCAAACCTGGCTGCGAGGATCCCGCGGCACGTGTCCCGGAGACACCGCCGAAGCTGAAGCTGCCGACCTCTCCGGCAGGCGGCGGTTTAGGGGTCTAGGGTTTAGGGCTTAGGGCTTGCTGTAGAGTGGCGCATAGCGGAAGTACCTAGCGACAGTGTGGTTTCGAGTGCATCGTAACTTGACGATTCGCTGCTGGAGCTTGAATGTGGAGAGCTCCTTCTTTCTCTCTCCCACGCCACGCCGTCTCAGGCGGCCAAACCACCCAAACCTTTTCCTTTTAGGGTTCACAGCTCTAAACTCATTCCAAGGTTTTCTTCTTCATGGTTTTCTTCTTCACTTGAAGCGTTCATGCACGGGGCAGGGCAGGGCGGGGCAAAGCCCAAGTTGGGCAGACCAGCACAGGAGGAGGCAGGAGGCAGGCAGGAGGCAGGAGGCAGGAGGCAGGAGGCAGGAGCCAGACAATAGCAGATGGGGGGCATCTGGTGAACGTGTTTGGAGGTCCTGTACCCTAAGCCCCCAAACCCGATATAAACCCTAAGCCCCTACAGTGCACCCTAAACCCCTAAACCCTCAATCCCTCAAACCTAAAGCCCCAAGTCCTCATGCCTAAAACTTCAAACCCTAAAGACCAGATCCTGAAGAGTGTAAAAGGGTTCCGCGTTGGGTTTTCAAGGTGTAGCGTTTGATGTAAGCGTCATAACTTACATAGAAGCCCAAATAATTACCAATATTATTCTGAAGGTTCCCATCCTAAACATACTACAGAGGCCCAATGCCTTATTCTAATTGTTAAGGCTCTTGTATCATGTGCGCTTGCAGACCTAAGACTTCGTGCTTTTCGGCTGCGGTACCTCTACAGGTTTAAGGGTTTAGGGTTTAGGGATGGGGGGGGGGGGGTAACCTGCAAGATACTGTTGCTGACAGATCGTTTCGCCAGCTCTTGCAGCTTTTGTGAGTTCATTCCCAGAGGGTCCATATACACTACTATTATGGGATTAGGTCCCCAAAACCATTATTAGGGATGGTCTCTTGGGACCTAATTCCGTAATGGTAGTGTATATGGACCCTCTGGGATTGCAGGTCGTTCATGTTGAGTCCGGCCACCGTGAACAATCTTGGCTGGTGCGCGAGACGGCAGGACGCGCTCTGGCTGCCGCGGGCGCACGGTTTAGGGTTTAGGGTTTAGGGTTTAGGGTTTAGGCGCCGTCGCCGCCTTGTACAGCAGCTCTCCTCTCAATCAGCTCTGATGGCAAGAGGCTAGGGCAACCGGCTGAAGAAACAACGATCTATGCTGCATGGAAAGGGGGACTGTGATCTTGCAGCCTGGTTGCCTCCAATGGTGAAGTACACTTATATAGTAGAATGCAGGATCTCTATATTCGGAATCATGGTTATGATTCGGGAAAATATCCCCCGTAACCGTGCCCAACACCCTTTGGGTGCTAGGTAACGGTAACGGATGGTTTCGGAATTTAGCGTTTAAGGAACACGTAGGGCTCAAGGTAAGATAACTGCAGATGTGCAGACTTATCCCCTCCCCTAAACCCTAAACACTAAATCCCCAAGGCTCTACAGGGGTTCATGTACCCATCTAGTATATACTTCGGCCCCAACGTATTTAAACAGGGACTACATTAAGGCCAGAGTATATACTATATGAGTACATTGAGCACATGGACCCTGAGGAAATCCTTCACTTTGAGTTACTTAGGGGTCTTAGGGTTGAGGGTTTAGGGTTTAGGCTTTAGGGTTTAGGACAAGTTGCCAGGCACCGAAACCCACGCTTCAAGCCTAAGCTCCAACAGCCCTAAAGCCCATTACAGCCTGATAGTACCCTGTGAGCCCCCTTTCTAGCAGACCCCTTAAAGGAGGGTTTAGGGTTTAGGTTTGGGGTTTAGACTTCTACATCCCTGACAAGAGCCATAACTAAACCCTAAACCCCTCTAAACCCTAAACCCTAAACCCCCTAAACCCCCTAAACCCTAAACCCCAAAACCTCCTAGCCCAGAGTCCATTTGCCATCGCAGGTTCAGCTAAGAGGCGCGACATGAGGGGGGGGACAGAAAGGGTTTAGGGTTTATGACTGTTTTAGGGTTTAGGGTTCAGGGCTTATGACGGTTTTAGGGTTTTGGGTTCAGGGCTTATGGCTGTTTTTGGGTTTAGGGTTCAGGGTTTATGGATGTTTTAGGATTTAGGGTTTTGTGGGTTGTTTGGGGTTGGAGTATTTCTTGAGCCGCTGCTCTGTTACGTCGAATTGCTGTAGTGTCTATGGTCCGTGTCTCACACCCTGGAAAACCTAAAGCTGCGAACCCCAAACCCAACACCAAAGCAAAATTCTGACGGTAAGCCGTTAATCCTAGTCTCGAAACCTAAACCCTAAACTCCTATGATGTATGATGTCAAGAGGAGGAACAGTATTGCTGGTGGCTAATAGGCATGATGACGATGAGGTGTCAAGTTCAGTTGTAGTCTTCAGGAGTTCATTTATCAGGGCTTTGAGATTGTGTACGTTCATTGGTTTAGAATTCGGGGCTGTTGGTGCCTTGCCAGGGTAAGTAGACTTCGGCGATTCAGGTGGGCAGGCTGACAGACGTGCAATCCCCCCACCTACTAGCATTTAGCCGCAGTGTCACCGGAAAGTCCTTGCATATCTAAACACGAAGCCCTAAACCCTGAACCCTACTTTTTAGGGACCAGAAAGGACATAAGCATAAGCATTGTATAGGGACATATCTACCTTACTGGGCTTCATTATAAGGGGGATTTATATGGGAGATCCCTTTCCCAATTTTTGCTCATGTGCTTTCTTGCGGCCCTAACTCTGTATCTCTGTGTGTATGTATTACACCCTACATGTCCGGGGACGCACGATCCGACCCAGTTCTTGATCCCTGTTTCGCTCGTGCCGCCCGTGGCTTTGTTACAAGTAGAGTTCAGGGTTTCTGGTCTAGAGTAAGTAGCCAAGAACCTTCTTGCTGCACTCCAATCCTTACATGTTCCAACAGCTTAGCAGAGTCTACAAAGTTGTTACACGACTATTGTCATGCCCTTAACCTTGAAGTTAGATACAGGGAATCCCCACATGAATCCTATCCTTAACCCCTACGCCAGCATTTTCGAGTTCACACTAATGTCCCCCTGTGGCATAATGGTACTATCATGTACACAAAAAGCCCATCGTAATTCTGGCCCCTACTACTTAGCCACGGGCACATGCTACTGAGCCCCGGCGACTAGTGCTAAAACCCGAAGACTCTTCATTGTGGTCGTCCGTTCACGGCTTGATGAAGGATTTCTGCTGCTCCACCCACGGCGGCCGCTACCGCAGCAGCACCGCAATGCTGGAGCCACCCGGTCCTACTGGGTTTTGGGTAGCGGCTGAATCATGAGTGTCAATGGTTGTTGTAGACTTCGTGTTTTAATTTTTGATGTCGACGAGGCACTGGAAGGCCTGTTGGCCCAGGCCAAGCCTCATGCAACGGCCCTGCAATCAGAGAGGACCTTAGTGTAAACCTAAATACATCCAAACCCTTATATATCCCCTAAACCCTAACCCCTATAACCCTAAACCCCTAAACCCTGAGCCTTAAATACAAGGTCCACGTTCACGGTCTGGCCATCCGACCCGCCCTCTTTAGGGTTCAGTGTATAAGCGGTGAAATAATGCGGACGCCGCTATTGTCCTGGTACTTGTAACAGTAAACCCATCCAGACGGAGTGGGCCGTCTCTTGTTGTCCGAGGCTAGCAAAGCCGTGAGCCTTGCACTTTAAAGCCCTAAATCCTGAACCCTAAACCCTAAACCCTTAACCCTAAACCCTTAACTTAAGGGATTGTAGTGTTTCTTTCATCACGTTTTGGGGTTTCGTATACAGGATGCGCAGCAACATCGAACTCTTGCATGTCGAGGCCCTGTACAGGAGATGCCTGCCCAGCCTTAGCAAACCTTAGAGTCGGCATGTTGTAGGGCTCTGTAAGTTTAGGGTCACGGTTAAGGGTTTAGGGTTTAGGGTTAAGGTTTAGGGAAGTCTCAGTAGTAGAGTATAGTTGGTTTAGGGTTTAGGGTTTAGAGTAGATAACCTTTAACGAATCCCTATATAGTTCTCAATATACTCCCAAAGGTTTAGCTTAATTCGCCAGGATACTGGACAAGTAGGGATTTAGGGTTTAGGGTTAGGGCTTAAAGTATTAGGCTTGTCCGGAGTTCTGCGCCCCGTATCGGTAACCGAGATCTAATCCGCTAATTAGCCCATAGTCCAAGCTTGCCGAGGCATGCTGCCCACGACAATGGCAGGCACACGTTCCGGATGTAAACCCAAAACCCAAAACCCCTAAACCCTAAACCCTACACCCCTAAACCCCTAAACCCTAAACCCAAAACCCCTAAACCCCTAAACCCTAAACCGGATGTTCCCTGAACACTGAACCCTGGATTTCGGAACCTCCCCCATTTAAAGATTTAAGGGTTTAGGTTTTAGAGTTTAGGTTTTAGGTTTGTGTCCTCCCATTGAAAAAATATGACAAACCCGATTCGAGCGTAAAAACATGGGGTCGAGGAGAATCTGGGGGATCACATGGCGGTTTTAATCCTGAACTGCACCGTAAAGTAGCATCCTAGAATAGCCTAGTATAGACGTGATCACGATTTTTCGAGGCGGTTTAAGGTTTACCGCTTTGGGTTTGGATCTTTGTTGGTAGTCTTGCGTGGGCTATTCAGGGTTGGGTTTTGGGGGTTTGAAGTTCTGGGCAATGGGGATTCCCAAACCCTGGATCTGAGAGTTTAGGGCTTTAGAGGTTTAAGGGATAGCGGTTACGGCGGGTAGGGTTTAGGGTTTACGGGATCAGGGTCTAGGGTATCATGAACTCCCTCATAACCACTTGCCCAAATTGAAACGGCCCTAAACCTGACTACCTATTGATGGGGTCCCAGGGGGAAACCCGACCAAGCATAGCCATAAAACCCGTATTTCAACCAGTGGACACCCTCAATGAACAACTTCTGCTCTTGGGTCCTTTGGACGCTGTGGGGTGCGAATCTTAAAGTGAATGTGGAAGCCCTAAACCCGTAAACTCTCAACCACTATCCCTAAACCCCTAAACTCTAAACCCGAAACCCCTAAACCCTATGCCCCTGCACCCCTAAACCCTAAACCCCTAAATCCCTGAACTCTGGAAGCTCGAGGTTCAGGTGCGCCCACCGCCGATGTAAGGGTAAAGCCGCATCCCAAGCATTGTTGGTGCTAGGGCTTAGGGTTCAGGGGTTTAGGGTTTAGGGTTTCGGGTTTAGGATTTATGGTTTGGGGCTTAGGGTTTCGGGTTAGGCTTAGGGTTCTGGTAAAAAGTGGTTCCTGTAGGGGAGCTTAAGGGGTGCAAAACAAGGTTTAGGAACTTTTTGCTTTTAGGGGTTTTGGGGTTTTTAAGTTTTGCTCTTTGGGCGTAGTGTTTTGTGTGAAGTTCGGCCTTTGGTTGTGCGTATGGGTTGAGAATTCGGTTTAGGGTTTAGGGTTTAGGGTTGAGACTTGAAAAGTACAGGGCTCAGGCTCAGCATTGGGTTTCGGGTTTGTAAGGCCGACACAATTAAGCCCTACGTAGCCCCCTAAACCCTACACGCCTAATCTCTAAACCCTGAATCCTTAACCCCTGAACCGCACACGCCTATACTCTAAATCCCTAACCCTAAAACCCTAGCTAAACCCTAAACCCTTAACCCTAAACCCTAAACCCTAAATCCTAAATCCCTAAATCCTAAATCCCTAAACCCTAAATCCCTAAACCCTACACGCCTAAACCCTACACGCCTAGACCCTAAATCCCTAAACCTCACCATCTCCAAGCCCTAATCTGGTCTGTCAGATGCACGGTTCCATTCAGGCCTTTTTTAGGGTTTAGGGTTTTAGGGTTTAGGGTTTAGGGCTGTTGAGGTACTATTTTGGGGGTTTAGGGGTTTAGGGTTTAGGGGTTTTAGAGTTTAGGGGTCTAGGGTTTAGGGGTTTGGGGGTTTAGGGTTTAGGGTTTAGGGTGTCCGAGTTGAACGACGATGAGAAGATGTCTTTTCGGCAGTTGTATGCAGATTTGAATTGTGCTGTCTGCAAATATGATCCACCCACTCGGTCTAGGACATTTTCAGGTGGCTAGTTCCGTTATAGGAGCCTTATAGAAGGTCTATATACTTATAGAAACCTTATTATAGAAGCCCTATATACCCTAAACTCCCCACCTGTAGTTTCCTTTAACTTGGAACCTTGCCACAGAACCGCTGGTGCTGCAAATGAACTCTGGATCGCTGAATGCTTCTGAGCACTTGGTGTTGGCTTTCAGGACACAGAAGTCCCCAATCGATATGGTTTTCGTTGAGTTGCCAAAATATCAGTGGCAGCAAGGAAGCCTCTCCTAATCCACCGTTTGACCTTCGGATAGTGCCTGAAAGGTCTCTCGGCCATCGCGTGACCATGCACAGCCCTACCGAGGAAATCCAGGCCTGCCGGCCCTACGGGCCTGCCACAGACATCTAGCGTTTAGGGTTTAGGGTCTGGGCTTGGTGGCCTGCTGGCAGGTCGACAAGCACGGTGGTCCGCGTGACTGGCTGCCAGGCTCAATTGATTTGGCTGTTCGCAAACTGGACTTCGGCCCAGTCCAGTCATTAACAAGGTTGGACCAGCTGCTTATGGAGGATCCAGCTGACCGGCTGATTGCCACAGATTTCGCGAGCCCCCCAGGTAGTACCCTATATAGTAGGTACCTGGGGGGTTAGGGCAGCACAAATATGTTTGGCTGAATGAATCCGCCTTGTGCGTGCAGCTGGTTCGGCAAGCCTCGGATTGGACACTTGCAGCTTGAGCGTGGGCCCTGTGCACCACCTAGACAGTTTCTCGGTCAGCGGCCAAGCGGTGTTCTCACGAGAGCCGCTGCAGGAATTTGCAGATCAGGAACGTGAGCGACGGCGGGTTTTATGGCACACATGGCTCTGCGAAGTCACAACAGTGGCCGGTCGGGGTCGGCCACAGGCCTGTGGACAAGGAGCAAACAGGGGCCACCAATGGGGGCAAGGCCGCAGATTGGGCAGGGGCAAGGGCAGGGGTCATAGCGAGCTTAACAGTTTGGAACAATGCCCCTTAGATGGAGTCGGGCGGAGCTTTTTTTGTTAAGGGGAGTCCTATCGCAGGCAGGGTTCTGTTGGCGCTAATGAAACATCAGAAACAGGCTCTAGCAGTTCATCTTTCCAGATGGCCAACATATTTGATTTAGGGGCCTTAGCAACTAAGGTTTGGTGGTAGACACTCGTAGTATACCCTTGTAGAGACTAGAAGTGAATATTATTGGAATTTGTTCCGACCCCCAAATATTGAAAGAATGTAAAATACGGTCTTGGTGGTCCTGCATAGCTTGAGCAGCTACGCTCGATCATACCCTAGACCCTAAACCCTAAACCCTGTACCGGGATACTGACTAAAATGATCCATTGATGCCGTACGCGGGGTTAACAGGACGGTTAGCAATGCAGCAATGCTCAAATACGTCTCCAATGAAGGTGCCGATGGTCCTACACGGAACTTTGAGCCGTAGTAGGGAACAGCTCCTAAACCCTAGACTCTACAAGCCCCAAACCCCAAACCCTAAACCCAAAAAACGAAGGAATAAGGTTGCAACTTATTCCGAGGTAGGCCAGATGGATTCCAGCAATACACAAGGAGACACGAAAAGTATGACTCATGAATCCCTTAGGGTTTATGGTCTAGGGCTTTGGGGTTTTACGCTTTAGGGTTCTAGGGTTCCGGGTTTATAGGGTCTAGCTAGGGTTTAGGGATTAAGGTTTCGGAGAGGAAAATCCGGGCTCGGGCTCACAAACCCAGAACCACAGGCTGTTCTGCAGCAAGCACCATCAGAATCCTGACGAGGGGTTGGGGTTTAGGGTTAGTGGTTTAGGGTTTATAGGGTTTAGGGGTATTAAGAACGGCGCTGCGGCCGAAATCTATTTCAGTTCATACAGTAACCCTATCGAATTCAGTCCTGGCGCGTCCAGGCCTATCCCTGTGATCAGCTGCCCAGCCGGCTCTGCAATGTCCGGGGCGCGCATCTCAATGCGGGCTTGCCGTAAATGCTTGAGAGGTTTAGGGTTAAGGCTTATATTGTCGGGCTTCCAGCCGGATGCCTTTAGCTCATAAACCCTAAACGCTCGAAATGACAAAGGTTTGGGATGTCACATCTAAACGATGGCAAGAACCCGAGGCTCTCGACCCGAAACCCTAATTCAACCAAGAAACAAAAACATAGTGACTAAGCTGCCGTATTGAGCCCCTGAACCCCAAACCCTAATCCCTAAACCCGAAGCCCTAAACCCTAATCCCTCAATCCCTAGACCCTACACCCCAAAACGTTTACAGCAAATCCCAGAAATTTGGAACTTGGGTTTGGGAGGAAGAGTGCTAGGTTCCCGTATACTTTACTTTAAGGGCATGAGGATAATCATGTTCCAACTTTACGGCTTCTACTGTAATTATTGTTGAAGAGGTTATCAGATCAGGATCTGAGGCTTTCCGGCTCTTCAACGCCGTTGGGCGTAGCTCGTTGGGTTTCAGGTTGTCCCAGACACTTAGCAAGGCGGTCTAGGTTTTGGGTTTAGTGTCTGGGCTTTAGGGGTTTAGGGTCTAGGGTTTAGGGTTTCGTTTTTAGGGTTTGGATCCCCGAAAATCGAACCTTATCTCTTTCTTGCCGGTAGTACTTTCTTGAATCCCCTAGGATAACGCAGGGGCCGCCTCAGGGGGGTGAATAACTAGCTTTCTTAGGATATAGTTATCGCACTATATACCCCCAAGCCCCTGCTCTAGTTACCAGGGTCCGTATGCTACCCCTTTTCGGGATGCTTTTGTTCTAAGATACTTCAGAGGGTCTGCGTAAGTGTTCCAAATCTCCGAAAGCCGAATGCAATGAATCAACAGGTCTTAACGGGTGTTTACAGGGCTTCCATAAAGCTGCTCGATGGTGGTTCAAGATGGGTTTGGGTTTTGGGGGTTGGGGCTCATAGGGTAAGTAAGGTTTATTAACTATTATAAACTGTAAACCCAACACTAGATTGGGCTGTGACTTCATGGTAAAAGCTGTATCCGTACAAACCTTAGCATCGTAGCTGATGGCCTCATCGTGAGGGGGTATAGACCGCAACACATGCTAGGTTGATGGATCCACTTGCATGGCCCTAAACCCTCATCTTCGCTTCCTTTCACTCCACATTAGACTCCTGAAATTTCAGACCCCGTAAGGTACCTTTGCCCTTCCGGTATCCAAAGGATTCTAGCAATCAATAGCCCATTGCATGCAATGGCCTGACCCTTGAATTGTCGAGTATAGTTGCTGGTCTTTGAGGCCGTAAAGATAGAATACAGAGGACCTGTTTCTCTTGTATAGGTGAGTGGCCTTCTAGGACAATGTCAATCCGGTAGATTACCTGCTCACAGTTCAAGGGGACCTGACACCATCTCTGTGCTCCGTCACGTTGTTTTCGCATGCTAGCCACAGTATTTTGGATCAAATTCCCTAACTCAGCCCTAACCGTAAATCCCAATCCTAAACCCCTTAGGCTTAATTGCTCCCTGAACCACAAGCGTTAAGCCTCATAGAGAACTTGTAGACATAGATGCCTGAAGCGAACCGAAGACTCTGCTCCAATGCCAATGTGGTTCAGACGAGGCCTGCGGGGGTGCTTTGCAACCAGGAACGGTGGCCTGGCAGCAGGGTTAGGGTTTATTGTTCGGGGATCCTTTCAGGGTTCCGATTAAGGGATCTGCAGAAGGGTTATATAGGGGGGCAGATTTACGTTGCAGGCGTCACTCGGCTGATGACAGTCTTATTCGCCGACGAAGACAAGATGCAAAGGCAAAGGTACATATGCCTGGACCTGCGCAGAGGCCCGGCGACACGTTTGAGCCGGCGTGGTCGCGCTTCAGCCACATCACGCAGAGTGACGCACTGGAGGTAGAGCACGCCTGGCATCTGTGCATCCGCACAGATCTCTTCCACATTCTTTACCACGTCAAGATGCCTCGCAGTGTCCAGGTGACGGTCCGCTATATTGGGACTGTGATCCGCACAGTGGGGCAAAACTAGCCCACCGCTGCACGAATTCCCACTGGCGACGACGACCTGCACCTGAAACTGTATGAACCCTAAACCCTAAACCCCTAAACCCTAAACTCTGGTGTTTGCGTATGCGTTGCAGCTTGAGCCATTCTAGGATCTTTACACCGTCGGAGCCGGGCATCCTCAATGTCATTCACACAGTGACAGGCTTACTGTTACGTTAGGGTTTAGGGTTTAGGGTTTAGGGTTCTATTAACCCTAAACCCTATAAACCCTAAACCTATGGCTTGGGGGCTGACCCCATGGCAGGCTTCAGGACGGCTCCGACCCTCGATCCATTAATGGATGTGCCTTGTCACGCCCTAAAGCTTTAATCCTTAACTCCCAAAACCTAAACTCCCAAAACCTAAACCCTTAAACCCCACAACCCTAAACCCTAAACCCTTAAACCCCGAAGCCCAAAGCCCTAAACCCCTCCGTTAGAGAAAAGCCCCGGGAGTCTCCATGGAGTTTTAGGGTTTAGATCCTTCAACGCCGTTTGAGAAAAGTGTAGACCCTAAATCCCAAACCCTACAACCCTTGCCCAAACGGTCCTAGGTCCTAGGTACTGTTATGAGTTATGGGGGATACTTTCCCAAATCATAACCATAATGGTCTCTAGTTTAAAAATTCTACACTCTACTATACAGGCAGGTACCCCAAGCCCTGAACCCGAAACCCTAAACCTTGAACCTTAAACCCTACATTCTACTAGACGGGTGCTTAGAGGAACCTCTGGGGTTCTAGAAACCGCTATGAAGGAACCCCTACGGAACCTTATAGGGTTTAGGGTTTAGGGCCCGTCCAAAATCCTTAGTAGTCCTAATATAGAAGCCTAAATAATTTCCCATATACTCTTTTGGGCGGTTCCTTATTATAACTGTAGTATAACCCCAAAACCTTATTCTAATTATGAATGCCCCGTACATTACGTAGATATCAGCTACATGCACGCCGCGAAGGAGCTTTGGGAGCCCCACGCAAGAGTGTCTTTTGGAGAAAAGAGGGTCTCGCTTCGGATTCTGTTTAGATTCCTTTTTCATGGACCTCCTGAAGTTGTTGTCTGGTTTGCGGGTTTCTTTCAATAAGGGTTCTAATAGGGGTTCTATGTATGGGGGCGGGTTTCTGAATTAGAGTCCGTTTCGGGGTGCCTCTTTCCAAGAATGATGCCATATTTGGGGATCCTAATGCAGAGAAAAACCATATGACATGTATGCTGCGACTGAACCTTTGGACCGTTCGAAGCCCCTAATCACCCAAAAGATGGAAAGCTTCTCAACCTCTGCCGGCCTCTAGACTCTAGGCAGACCTCTGCAAAAGGTGCGAACCCTAAACCCTCGTGAACTCCGACGAGGTGAAAATGATCAGTGAGCCTGTGGTGACCTTGGGTTGGCCGCAGCCGGGGGGTTTCAGGGTCTAGGTCTGGAGATGTTTCGAGTTTGGGGTTTAGGGGTGTCGGGCTTGTGGGATTAGGGTTCAGGGTTTGGGGTTATGGGTGTAGGGCTTAAGGGTTCCGGGTTTAGCTTATGGGTTTAGGGCTTCCTATATCAGCTTGTGCAAATAACGAAGTGTTAGTATGTGGGCCGTGCTGGAGACCTCCGGGTTACATCACTCTGGGTTCGCTAGTTTCTCGACGCTCTCACAGCAGAGTCTTTCATGTGCGAAGTCAGCTGCAGGATTGCTTGCTTCAGCTGCACCTTAATACCCTTTGTAATTAGTAAAATATGCAAAAATAGCTGTTCTTCGTAAAATTAGTAATATGCATTATGAAAAGTGTAGATCACATGGATACCTGGGATCACATGATTACCTGAATCGGGGCTATATGCGTTTACCTATGCAACTTCTAAGCTTACTGAACAATGCCAGGCCTTGCTAAACTCATATTGTATTATTGAATCCGATATTAAGCTTTAGGGTTTAGGGTGTAGGGAGGGTTATATGATGCTTCGAGGAGGCCCTAAACGTTAAATCCCAATCTAAACCCCTAAACCCTATACCCTAAACCCTAAACCCTAAACGGTTTAGGGTTTAGGGTTTAGGGACCGGATCGGAGGTACAGCCGCCGTCGCTTCTCTCCTCCGGGTATCTCTACGGCCGGCCCCGGCCAGTGGTGCCTCGGATCTGAAAAATCTTAGTTAGCCAATGGGAGAACTTTAAACTTGTTGTTGGCCCCATATATGAGGTCTATCGCAACAGTTTGAATTTTTGTTTGGCTTGGTTGCTGAAGAAGAGAGAACTTGAACACCTGGCAAAACCAAGGAAACAGCAACACACAGCCTGCACTTAGAAATCCTACAGTATTTCAGGCCGGGCTGCGTGCCTTAAACTAAGAGCCCTAAACCCAAAACTTAGGGCTTAGGGTTTAGGGTTTAGGGTTTATCTAACCATTTAACCCTAAGCACGCAGCTACAAGCCCAACCATTCTAAACTTGTGAGGGTACTGCCGGCAAGAGTCCTACAATGGCTTTCGGTCTTGAGGTTCCCTAAATGCAGACCCAAGCTGTTACCCAGGGTATCCATCAGCCCCACTAGCCTCCGGACGAAGAGCTTGTCGAGAGAGCTATGAACGTTAACGTGCAAACCCTAATGTAGGGGCCTAAATAACTACCTATACTATGTTGGAGGTTCCTTGTTATACTTATAGTATAATGGGCCCTAAAACCCTGTTCAAATTGTTAAGGCCCCCATATTCGGCTGTCCTAAACATGTCGGGGTTCTGCAAGGGTTCTATAATGGCTGTGATGCTTCATTAGCGTTTTCAGGGCTATGTTGATTCTGAAGTGGTTGCTGGGGTTGTGGGGTTGTCAGGGCGATGATGGCTTAGGATTATTATAGGGCACGCATAGACCTTTCCAATTCCTAAAGCCCTCCACGTTTCATCCAGGAGGCAATCCCCGCCCACAGATTTCTAAACCCTAAAATCCGAAACCCTTAAACCCTAAACTCTGAAGCCCTGAACCCTAAACCCTAAACCCCTAAACCTAAACCCCTAAATCCCTAAACCCCTAAACCCCTAAACCCTAAACCCTTAAACCCTAGACCCTATGAGCCCTAAACCCAAAGCTTCTGCGCCCGAAGCTCTCAGCTCGGAGCTTGCGACTCCCAAACCCGCAGACCTTGCACCCAAAAGCCTTCATGGGGTTTAGGGTCTAGGGTTTAGGGTTTAGGGTTTAGGGTTTTAGGGTTTACGGCCTAGGGTTTAGGGTTTAGGATTTAGGGTTTATCTAGAAGGTTTTAGGGAGCCCAAACATGAAACTCTACAAAAGCTTCGACAATCCGGCAAAAAATACACAAACACATTGTATGAACCCTAAACCCTAAACCCTACACCCTAAACCCTAAACGCTAGCCCGAACCCCAAAAGCGCCAAAACTCCGCATCTTCGCGGTGAGCTCCGGTCTGTCGCCCAGGCCCACTGATGTCAAGTCACTCCGTCAGGCCACCAGCCCACGGTGTAGGGTTTAGGGTTGTAGGGTTTAGGGTTTAGGGTTTTAGGGTTCAGGGTTTAGGGTTTTAGGGTTTAGGGTTTAGGGTTTTCGGCTTTAGGGTTTAGGGTTTTAGGGTTCAGGGTTTAGGGTTTTAGGGTTTAGGGTTTAGGGTTTTAGGGTTTAGGGTTTAGGGTTAAACCCTTAGTCCTGTATCTGTACTTCAGAGTTTGGTTCTGATGTGTTGTGAAGGTGTTCTTATGGAAGATCGGGCCTTTGCGGAGGGCTAGTCAGTACCCTTAGGAGGAGTAGTAGTAGTAGTAGTAGTAGTAGTAGCCGTCATCGTAGTAGTAGAGTTAGAGCAGATGTACAGTTCGGAGGAGGACGAGCAAGGCTGGCACATAGCAGGGTAGTCGTGGGAGAGGAGTAGGACGAG